CAAATTTACTATAAATAGCAAAACAAAATACACAAAAAGTTTTAACTATCTGTTTTTGCATATATCTAATAAAGTTCCGTATTGCTCACTGTACGCATATTAAATGGTCCGATAAACTAACTGTACGCAAAAACTTTGGTTCATTACGATGCGTTTTCATGACCGACTGATCAGTATCTATTTCCTACGCATGGACAATTAGTTACTAGTATGGATGAAAGCAGTTTCCTTTAGTGAACAGTTAACTATATAATACTTGAATTATGCATATAGTCTCAGCATTCGAAAATGGATATATAACATGGGGATGTAACCCAATATGTACCTCAAAAATGAGCATCGGTAAAAGTAAACGTGAATTACCGCAAGTCAAGATGTGAAGGCCCTTCCTACATATCTACGTATTTTCAAAACCTTTCCAGAGCAACAGATAAGGTATTTGCGTATTTACGCAATTAATTTTATAATATACGCAATTGATTTTTTAAGAATGCGTATCAAAACCCATTGAAAAAATAAAATATGCAATTGTCTTAAAAACCCGTGCGTATTGTCATTTTCATCACTGCAAAATTAATCTGTCGCACGCTTGTAGTTTTGGACAAATTATATGGATATGCATGCTATCCGAATATTCACGAATCCATGCTCACTAATCAACGGTCTCCGGTCTTCGGCGGTCCCCGGTCTAAAAGACCGACTAAGCCATATCAATAAAGCACAAGTAGAGATTTTGATGCTAAAACATCAAGTCTCCGGATAGAAAATGATTGTATTATCATAAATATAAGAAAATATATGTTTAATTAATGGTTCAAGTATAAAGAAAAGAGGAACAAATGTTGAGTAACTTTATTCACAATAAAACATCATATATGAAGCAAACTGCTATGATTATTAAATGAGCAATTAGTATTGTCTGGCAATATTGACCTGAGGCCTATTAATTTTCGAGAGGTGTTTCGTAAGTTTACGTAACTTATTTTGATAAATGCTAAAGATTTCATTGATAGTATAGATCTCGATATTAAATCAATTAATATTGCTCGATGGCCTAGTGGTGGTACGTATGACGAAGTTGTGACCTAGTAGGTCAAGTTCGAATCTTTGAAATTCCCTTTTGCAGTTTTCATAAAACTATCTTTTTATTTTTTCTTTTAACTATATGAAATATAAGTTGATAATTTTTTTTCATTTCTAGCATTTTTTTATTTCATAATTTTAAATAATTTTGAAAGGTGAGTGATATTCTTGTAATTCTACTTGTAGTTCTACCTTATACATATACAGTTATACCAGACATCGATATCCGTATTGTATACTTCAGAATCCGATAATTACCGCCAAATAATTAACGGCCATCAAATATTTGAAAATATATATAATATGTTTAAATTATTGCATGAAACAATGAAATTCTACCGTAAAAGTGGTATCTGCATAAAAAATATTTTTATGCGCTATCGAAAAAATAAATAATTTAGTTGAAATCAATATTCCTGTCGTTACATACGATATAGTTAATATTAAATTGCCTTTTAGTTCGAAAGAATATTAACAAAAAGATATTTTATTAGTTTTCTTTATTATGTATCTAATACGATTCCGGATCCCTTTCGTCATACCGTTTTGGTAACCTGCGCGACGGAAATCGACGGAATATAACGAAGACGACGATTACCACTATTTATTTCAATAAATGTGCCTCTTTAGCATAAATCTATTTTTGTGATGTTCAACCTAAACTAAACTATTGAACGTTGACAGAAATGACCAAGTTTAATCCTTTACCAAGAAAAAATGAAAAGGTTTTGAAAACTTATTCTTTTATGTGAAAATTATGAGTATACAGACTTTCTAATGATATAAAATATGAAACTGATTAATGAAAGATAACTTTGTTATCATTTATACATTTGCATCTTATCAGCCGCCATACCTTTTGCCAACTATTCACAAGTTACTTTTATGTTTTATCATCAATCTGTTACTATAAATAGATTTATAACAATAACATACAACATGTAGTCACGTGATTCGTACAAAGAACAGAGAGAATCTGTTTATAATTAGATAAAATAATGAAATATAATAGGTCTCATAAGATATAAACATTTCAAATGTCATTCATGATTTATCAATCATTAAATAGCAACGATTGACACTTAGAAAAAAAGTAACAGTATCCCTGAATTCAATGAATGGTTCATAGGAATACGTTATTAATTCATTCCATGACAATTGTAATGTTGCTTTTTAAGATGTCAATATCTGTATATTTCATTTCATTTAGCAACGTTACTTTATGTTTGAATTTTTAAGATTATGAAAAATAATTGTGGTCCTTAATTGTTCAGTAATTAGTTTGCTTTTATATTCAGATTTCATTAAGGCCGTCTCCTACCATAGATATAATATTAAACTGTTACAAATATAGTCGCCGGTTTCTACCGGCGACTAATGACACCATCGATTTGTCTTCACAGACCGGCAGAGACCGTTGATTTTGCGGAGACCGTCAATAAGTAGGTCCCAGCTGTATCAATAGACACTTTGAAAGCAATATGGCGTCGTACAAAAGGGAAAATGATTTGAAACAAAACAGTCGTAAATAATCAAAAATCAGTCAGAAATGTCTTGTTAAAAATATTATGAAATATAACATGATCATTTTATGTAAAAAATAAAACAATTGTGAAAAGTTCTAGTAAATTGTTAATACTATTTTCTTTTTTAAAAAAATTAAATTTTATTGATAGAAACCATAAAATTCATATATTCATAATTGAATACCCAATTGATCTTGAAATCATAGGGTATGGAGTTTTGGAATACCCAATTAAATGGAACCAATACCCAATTCCAAAGGAAATGATGTAGTAATACCCAATACACTTTTAAAGCAGCATGCCTCGAAAAAATGTACTAAGATTTTAGGAAAAGTAGAAAGAATCAAGATTCAAGTAAAAATTTGCATATTACAAGTGACTAATTGCTAATTTTTCATTATTTTAAAATATATTTCTACTGCGTTACTAACGCAGTAGGGCAATTTCTGCATATTTTTACCTCCTTTTGTTTTTAACGTTGGTTGTAAGTGCCATAGAAAATATGTTAGTTGCTTCCTTTTGGTTACTATACAATATTATACTGTTAAATACATTTTTAAAATGTTCATGAAAATAAGCATTAATCTGGAGGCGTTCTGCTTTAAAGCTTATCTGTTGCTCTGCCTTTCGTATGCCGAATGTCTTTTATCTCTTTCTATAAGGATACTATGTTATTTAGAAGACTATCTAAATCGACATGTATTTTTTTATCAGTAAAATAGTTGTGGTGCGCGTGTATCTGGAAAAAATAGCTCTAGACACAGTTTCATACTGAAGATTGTGGAATGTGTGTGGCATGCCCAATTTAACGAAGGATTCGTTAGACACACATGACAGTGCGTATTGGCCTACTGTATGTTTTCCAAGGTTGTGAAAGATCTTGCCTGAGTGTATTCTTAAGCCCATATGTATTTGAAAAATGTAGTATGATATTTGGTAGGGACGGAAATTTCACCCAGAAATTCCACAAGTCAGGTAGACATTAAGAGAGAAAACCATATACATGGCCAAGATTGGCTGTAAAAAATCTCCTCGTACATTTAATCAATTGAAAGATGTTTTATTTTCGATCCTTAAGATCGTTCAACACACATTATTGATGTGTTACATACATGTAATGTGGTATTTCAAGTTTCTTTTATTTAGCCTTTTTCAACTTGGGCGGTTCCAGTATTACTACTTGAACAATGTATAATCACACTTAGGATATGTTGCCTGCTTTTAAAATTTGTCTTTTGACGTCTTGTCTGTGATTTGCATGTTTCATAACCCCAGATTCCCCTTTCAAAATATCATTTTGTTTAGTTCCGCCCATTGTACACACGCGTTATTTTACTTGGGGCCATACACCGCTTTTCATGGAATGATACTACTATGTCACATTGAAGGTGCCATGAAGGTCGTATGAACACCTCTGTGGATGTTTCTAAATTCAAAAATTCACCATGTTCGTGTTTAAATGTTGAATTATGCTTAAGCAAGTGCTAGGGGGCGTGGACGGTAACTTGCACTTGAGAGAACCGTTTATGAACAGGCTCAATCAAACCGAGCCTGCAACATTTTCATTTCTGCCAGTTTACCTTACAATTACACCTTAACTACTATGATGTCAAAGGAGCCCTACATCCTCCACACAAAAATTGCAATTTTGATTGTCAATGACTAACATTATTATAAAATATACTTACTCTGACGCGTCTAAACAGTCTAAAATCCGCCATTCTTCGGTATCGCACCATTTTACCTCGTGTTTATGAAATGCATGTGGTATGAATTTGTAATGTAGTTGGTATGAGGAGGGCAAAAACAGTATTTTATTTAGAGGTTTTTAACTAAGTAAAACTGTTATACTGTGGCTCGTCCATTTTCTATATAAATCAATTTAAAACATAAGATTCTTGTCAGCATGGCGGATTCCTATTGAAAGTGCTTCCTGAAGAATCTTGTCCCACAGGCCACTGGACATGTGTACCTAAGTTTCATTTCTTCAAGAGACACTGAGACAGTGTCCATGGACCAATGATAACTAGATACATATGTCCAGTGACCTGAGGGGCAAGATTCTTCAGGAAAGACCTGGTAAAGTGTGATCTTCGAAAAAACACCGAATGTTGGCGTAACTATTTTCAAAGAGGAAGTAATCATTGAAATTCAATTCAGGAAATTGAAAGTTAAAATAGTAGCAGCAGACGCATCTTTAGTAACTCCAAGGCCCGACTGCCGGGACGAGGTGATTCAACAATACAAGATAAGAACGGGCACTGTCTTTACATTCAGAATTTTATTTCATTTGTTATTCATTTTATAAACGTCAATTTTTTCTGAAGAAGACTAAACGTCGAAAGCTTATGAAAGCGTTTGTTTTAATTGAACTGATTTTATATTTCCGGAATAAGCACTCATGTGACGTTATATGTAAAACATATATAAAACAGAATCGCTGTCATAGTTGATCAACACTTCACAGCGTCAGACTAGGTACTTTTTATAAATTGTGAATGATTGGAGTAAATAGTTGTTAGTTCTGTTTTACAAATATAGTAGTGAAAATGTTTAATTTTACAACGCTATCGTGTAATTAAGTTGCAAAGGTCAAATACTACAGTACTTGGAACAATGTTCTTGTCTTTCTATCAATTGTTCTTTTGACGTAGTTAATAAAGGTAGGTAAAATGCATGCATTTATAATCACAATAAATCATAATTTAGAACAAAATTGAAAACGTAGACCTTAAGGAACTCCAGTTGGTCCAAAAGCTTAGAAAGAATAAAACTAGATTTCTTACAAACATCGACTGGGACAATAAAAACAGAAAGATATACAAAAGATATATAGGAAATATACTCAGAAATAAACTGCAAATCGTATTTTATGCCTTTCTCAGCAAAGAGTTGAAACGTATTTCAATTTGTGTGTCATTTTTTTCACAATTGGAATATTTATTCTGAATAAAAAAACGGAGTTAGGAAATTAAAAAAACATTTCGCTCAGTCAACATCAAATGGAATATTAATCTAATAAAATTATTTCTAGTCCAGTTATGTTGAGTGGAGTGTCTTTAATGTCTTTAATTCTAAATATCATTTTGTTTTGTAAAATCACTATGTCAATTTATTTACAAAAGTTTTCCTTCCATTCTACACGAGATCTCTCCCAGACATAATACAGTATTTGATTATACATCAGTCATCATCTTTGACAGGCTCTAGAGAATATTTTATCTCTATTTACGGCGACCAACTACTTGCCCAGCGTCATCCATCGCTATGTTGTTGCTATTTTCTTCTTGTGGTTGTCTTCCCAGGCCGCTACCGTTGTCAGGATAGCTATTTCTCGCTGCAGAACAGTATGTACCTTTGAAAAATGCACCAGATAAATTGTTTCACTTGAAATAGCTGTGTGATGTTTTTTTTATTATTTTTTATTTAAGAACTATGTCGTTGTTGTTTGACATGAAGCGTAGTCTTCTCCGACATAAATACGAGAGACTCATTTGCCGTCGGCTCGATTTGGCTTGATGCAAATCATGCTTTCTTGAGACATATTTCATATTTTCAACTTTTCAATTAAAGAAAAAAAAAAGGAAAAATAAAAGTGTCTTATGAACCTACACATAAAAAATGAACCATTCAAACAATTGGAAACATTGAACTTTTCTCATTTGTAAATATATATGAAGTAATTCATATTGCATTGTTAACATGCATCAAACTGCAGGACTTATTTGACATCGGCTCGATTGGCTTATTATAAAGAAAATTGACATCCCCGACACATGGAACTATAATGTTTTTATGCATTATTTTTGTATCGAGTACTTTGACATCTTGGTATTTATTTATTTTGACTCCCATTAGCGCATATTGCAATTTTATAATGCTGCGATAGAGGTACTACTGTGCTTCAAACACAAATTTGAGCTTGTAAAGTTTAATAATCTTCCCATGTAGATTAAAATTAAAGCTAGAATTTTCCTGAAAGAACTTATTCTTAATTGGAACTATTGTTTGTGTAATTACTTGTCATTCGTGAAATCACTTTAGAACAGAACAGAACATATATTTTATTCAAGACTACAAGAACGACTGACTATATTATACTAACGAAATTTCTCAATACGAAATAATAGTCCAGTCAGTGTACCCTTTAGGGTAGAACAAATTGCAAAAGTTTTTAAAACTATACTACACGATAGAGGATAAGGTAATATAAGTTTATAAAAAGTTGCATAATTTTGCAGCAGGCATTTTTCTACAATTTTTGTTTAAAATTTGTAAATTTAGCAATAAATTGTATAGCCCGTTTAGGCCGTCATACACCAAAATAATACGAATGACGTCATATAAAAGTGCGCGTAGCGGTGATATTTATAATTTCCGGTAAAGTTTTATTTTGAAGTTTTCGTCAACAAAATCCGAAATATAATTCAAATAAAGACCATTCGATGTAACAATTGAATTGGTAAGTCAATATTTATATATTTATTATCTATGAAGGTCTGGCGGTACTGACAATCCTTTAATATTGAATTGTTTCATAATGTTTTCCTCGAGTATCACAGACTCATTCGTCCAAGTCCATTGTAACCTGCTTGTTGATTTATTCATAAAATTCGTGTCATATTCAATGATACAGTACTATAAAAAATCTTTGGAGTACAGTAATGTTAAAAACTAAGACAGTGTGTTTTTAAATTTCAATATGTTTGGCGAAAGTCAACTCAAACAATAAAACTACGGAAGCGTGTCCGCAACATTGCAAGCATTTTATATCTTTAAAAACAAATAATTTTCAAAGCATTTACAGTGTAATTCTTGAAAGTTTTAACTTTTTTTTTAAAAAAAATATGCAGTAATTACTTAATTGTTCGTCATTGAAATTGATTTATTCAATATTTGCAGGAGAATATGGGCAGTCTCTCAAAGTTTCTGCAATAGCGATTAGCTACGTATGTTGAAAGGAGGTTTGGTGGAAATTATAAACTATCATGGTAATCTTTGAATTACAGTTAACTTATTGATGTTGTTGTTGATGATGATGTTTCTTTTTAGGAGAAAAATACGGCTGGATAAAGCCTTGGAATAGTTTGTATTTAGAACAATAATTCCAAAATATACACTTTCAAATAACTTGGTAAGTTTATGTTCTTTGACAGACTGGCATAAATTGAACACAATCGTTTTCAGTCATTTGAGCATTGCTATATTGTTATGGTTTAAATATGGACCGTAGTAACATATAAACACGTAAATGCAAAATTTTCTGTTAGATTGAAAAGGAGCTAGAAGTGATTTACTTTTTAAGCTCACCAGAGCCGAAGGCTCAGGGTGAGCTATTAGTATCAAAAGGGGATACTTCGGCGTCCGTCGTCATGTGTCAACAATCGTCTTCTCTGAAACTACTGAGCAGATTTACTTCAAATTAAGTCTGTAGCATCCTTGTGACAGTCACAATTGAATGAGCTAAAAATAGAAAAACCTTTAAACATCTTCTTCTACATAACTAATTGATGGATGGTCACCTAACTTTGTCTGTAGCATTCTTTGGTAGTCTTTTATTAAGTTTGCTCATATCAATTTGATTGGCCCCTTTTCAAAAGTAAAAGACAACTTGAAGCAATATAGAACACCCACATTAAGGATTCAGTATATGAATATGATTTCAATTCTGCAGCAGTTTATACGAGCTGAGAGAACTGGAGGTTGGACTAGACATCTTGCAGCGCTTAGGAAAATGCTTCCTTACTTTACTTTGTATTTGAAACTTGCTTACATGTATTTACAGAACATGCTTGCTTTAGAAAACACACACCCTGATGTGTACATGCAATTTCTGGACGGAAAGCATGTTGTAAGACGAAGTGACAGATATTTGGCTGGAATTTTAACAGACCTTGCAATAGAACAGGTACATATGAGGTCCCTGAAAACACCAGGAGAACTGACAAGAGGCAGAGGAATGACAGAAGGACAGCGAGCACTTTGGTTACTTTCAACGCCAGCAACTACTGAAATGAATGTTGTAATGCAGCAGTATACAGGGAAAAAATACACAACCAGTGAACAGCATAAGGAGTAGGGTAAATCAAGAATGGTTAGGGATGATAAAGATGTAAAATGCTTTTTATCTTTTTTGACTGTCCACAGTCCATTCGAAGCCCAATCTGAGTATTTGCAGAAACTTTTAATGGTGTATCTGCAGATGAAAAAGTAAACGCTGATTTGGCAGAAAAGATTGGAGTTGCTTTGGTAGACGAAATGGCTGGACAGGCTTTAAATGAATACAAGTAAGAATGAAAACAAATTGTCACACTGAATGAAGAAAACTCGGTAAAGGTTACCGGATATTCTATTGAAATAGACCCACAACTGCGTTTCCAGAGGCTTACTACTGGAACTAGTCGACATGTTGACAACGTTGAAGATATATTTAAGTATGGGTTGTGTGGACTTCAATCTTCTTTGTTTGACGGGTCAGGATTATTGAGAGAAGCTCAGAGGTCCTCATTATCTGATGCTATTTGGAAAACAGGTACCTGTGGGATTAAAGATGAGCCAGATGACTGTCAAGTTTTGGTACACGTGATTGATGGAGGATCACTTCTACAAACAGTGACCTGGAAAAAAGACGTTTCGTTTGAAACAATTTTTGAACAGTATTTCGACTACATTCAATCTCGCTATAATTCATCTGTAGTTTTATTTGACGATTATGACTTTGGACCCACAACTAAAGACGTTTCTCATGTCCGTAGAACAAAAGGAATAATTGTCCCATAATATTATTTTCTCTATCTACGTCGTTTAGAGGGAAAAAGGAAACATTCTTGAAAAATCCTGAAAACAAACAAACGTTCATATCACTTCTTGCACAATATCTGTCAAGAAAAGGCGTAAGATGTCTCAGATGTACAGCTGATGCCGTTTTTACAATTTTCAAAACTGCTTCGCAGTTGGCAGTTATTAAGCCAACTATTGTTGTTGGCGAAGACACAGATCTTCTAGTTTTACATCTGTGCCATGTGACAGGCACAATGAAAACCGTGCCTATGAGAAGTAGGAAAATGCAGAAAAGTAACAAAGCATGGCATATTCAAAAAGCAAAAACGGTTTTAGGTTCCGACATTTGTAATTTGCTTCCACTTATTCATACTATGACTGGCTGTGATACAACTTCAAGAGTGTATGGTATTGCAAAGCCTTCTGCACTGAAACTTTTCACTTGTAGTTAGACCCTTAGACTAGAAGCTGAGAGATTTATGAAAGCAAATTCAATGTCATCTGTTAATCAGTCTGGAGAGATAGTTTTATCCCTTCTGTTTGATGGAAAAAAAGGACCCACACTTGACAAGCTTAGGTATCAGAAGTTTTCTAATAATGTTGCAAACTCAACATCTGTTGTCCAAGTCACCTCTTTGCCATCAATGTCTGCTGCAGCCGCAAACCATAGTTTGAGAGTCTTCAAACACAAATGTGGATATGAAATGACGGACTCAATCCTTTAGCATGGGGCTGGGAGTTAGAAAATGACACATTCCTTCCTGTTAAAACCAGCTTACCACCAGCGCCTGATTTTCTTCTCATGGTTATTCAATGTAACTGTAAAGGTCAGTGCGACTCTGATCGCTGTTCGTGCCGAAAAAATGGGCTCGAATGTACAGCAGGCTGTGGAGAATGCAGGGGTATTGCATGCTCAAACTCTTTAATAATGTCAACCCTTGATTTTGAAGATTTTTAACAATACAGAAATCATTAATGCAAGTTGTTTATTGAAAATGATAGTATAAGCATAATACCGTGAAAGATAAATGTTGTTATGTTGTGAATACATGTGTAGGCAATTTATGAATTCTTCATGCCAATGTTTGTGAATTGATTTGTTCTAATATAAAAGTAGGTTGAATAATATATTAAATGTTGAAACTATTATGCAAAATGCAACACACAATATATTATTACTGAGGATCAATGCACCTATTAATTACTTTTTGATGTTTATTTATACCCTTCAATTTATCGTTGTTTTAATCCGATAAATGTTGATATTAAATTTTGGTACAATAAGTTTCAACTTAAAATTATTGGAAATTATCCAATTACATCAACTTTCTGAATTTTTCATGTCATATTTTCTTTTATTGGTATATCATGTGTTGAATGTAATAATTACTATAAATAGGTGCAGTGCAACAAATGGCATTTCATTTTATGTTTTTGTTTTTTTTACACCAAACCTTTAATTTTACATACTTAATAACATATTGTATATGTTTCTTGGAAAAAAAATCTTCTTTTTTTTTCTTTTTAACAAAAGAGGGTGGGGTAAGTTTTTCAATAGTTAACAAAATTTGCTAGCATAAAAAGGAATCATAATGACCATAATGTCTATCAAAAATAGTGTAGTTATATTTAAAATTGTATTTTTATAAGTTTTTCCTGTCATTGTTTCTAAACTGTTTTGTTTTAATTTGATAGTACGTTTAGGAATTCATTGTGTTGAAAATAATACTTAGTCTGCACAAAGTTCATGTTATTATTTATAAGAAGTGCAACTAATGACATTGCTTCTTGATGTTTTTGTATTAAAAATTTGTATGATATCAAACAATTTATTTTACTTGGTCAATACTACTTTGTGAATTTTTCATTAACCTTTAAAAAGTAAAAGAAATACATTTTTACAAAAGTGGATGGGGTACTTAACTCATATATATATGTTTTCTTTAAATAGTAGAAAATAAAGGAAATTAAATAGAACTGGCTTAAAGAAATTATAATGAAAAGAATATCTATGAAAACATTATTTTGTATAAAATAATCAAATTCAAAAGCATTGCTTTCATATCAATTAGATATACTCTTCTCGATTGTTAAAAATAACAATGCATTACGCTTTTAACAGTGCACTTACTTGACCCACTTTTTACTGATTTTGCCAATATTATATGTATGCATCTTTTTACTGATGATTAACAAAATATTAATGTAAATAAATAATGTTAAAACAAAACTTTTGCAATTTGTTATAGGTTGACCAATTTTTTTTGGCACCACTGACTGGACTATAATGCGGAATAAGTATTATTACCTTCAACATTTTGATGTAAGATATTTACGGTGGCCGGTGTTTTACACAGCGGTGGTATCTTCTCAAACGTTACCATTAAGTCTTGTAATAATCCCACAAGGTCAGAGTTTGGCTGAAATTTATGTTTAAAGTTAAATATAATTTAACAATCATCTGATCTCTAGATTCACAACAATACTGTAAAAGTTATATTTCACCAGTTCAAACCGTGTATAGCAAATGTACTTTCAATAAGTCACATAATCTTCGAACAGTGTACTTAATTGAGGTTAAAAAGAAACAAAATATATTTTTTGTCGAGAATTAGAAACAGATATCGGTATTAACAAGAAAGAAAGTGATCAAATTGTTTCTTACATGTTTCCATTCTTTAATGTAGGAAGTTGTTACTAGCCCCATCTGGTCAACATAAGTACAGTTTTTATTTAACGCCATATTAGAAGCTGGTTTTACATAAACAATAGGTGCCTTGTAAGGGTGTTGTTCCTTCAGATATATACACAAAGGGATATTGTCCATAGAATCTAGGAACAAAAAAACTGGTTTAACAGAAAGAATAATATACTGTTTGGAAATAAAAGTATAAATATTATTCTATACTATATTCAATTACTGCCAAAAACGATTTGTATGGACAGAAACCATATGTTTTAATGTTTTCTCGTAAAATTTTATTACAAAAATGTATATTTTATGTTATTTATTCATGCATTCCATGTAGATTAATGAAGGAAAATATCCTTTTGGGCTCTTAGGAGTACAACAGTACTTTGGATACCAGTAGAGATACTGACTACATAGTATTATTTAAACACACTCATGCTTTAAAAGTGAAAATTCTTGTTCTGAAAACATATTAATTTTGAAATTAAACCGCACAGTTTAAACGGACGTTAGTTTCAAAAACACTATTCTAGTTGACAGAGAGGTCTTAAGGTTTGCAATATTTTTCTAATATTCAGGCTAGTCTTAATATTATAATAATATACAAAGTTTTTTGGGTTTTTTTTGTTTGTTTTTCTTTTGTGGGGGAGGGGTGTTGTTGTTTTTTTTTCTTTTATGTGTTTGAATTCATAATCTTTATATATACACTGCCAAAATATAGTTTACGAACATACAATGTAACAAAAAACATTCAAGTGCTTTACTGATCCACAATATGAAATGTGCTATGAATATTATTTCATAATTGTGTAAATATTGTGTTGCGTAGGTGCGTGTGCGCGTGCGGATGTGTGTGTGTGTGTGTTTTAAAGGTAACACCCTTTATTTTATAGACATAGATAAATACATACAAACATACAAAGCACATACACTACACATGCTTCTTTCAAACAAAAATAAGAAACCTTTGCAAAATTTCTATAAACTTTTCTATATATATATATATATATATATATATATATATATATATTGTTTTATAGCCCTATAGTCTATCCCTGTAATGAATAGAAATTGTTGTAGTGCTTTTGAATTTAAAAATATCGAATTCACAATACTATGTCCACACCCACAAACTAATCATGAAATGGAATATATTTCAAATTCTCCTAATGCTTTCCAAAATCATCTACCTTGTTAATTGGTGTTTGTTTTTCTTTCGATTTGGTATTGGTACTTAATATAATGTTTACCAAACTCAAAGGTTTTTTAAAATTCATTTTACAATAATATATGTACTTCTTTACAAACAAAAACAAAGGATTTTTTCCATAATCTGCATTTTATATACCTGAAAGAACATGTATTTTTGTTAAATGCAAATGAGAATTTTTGGAAAAGACAATAAATCATATCGGAAACAACTGTTCTAAGCTTTCAACATTATTATTCCAAAAACTGCAACTGATATTATCTTTATAATGTATCTTATATTCAAGTTGGTTTGTAACCTTTACCAAGTATTCAAATCTATTGAAACCATTGTAAATTGGTGTATTTAGTTGTGTCAAATGTAAGTGAAAACAAGAGGGTCATGAACACCCTGAATTGCTCACCAGTAACAACTGTTTTTCAGTGATTAGGTAATAAATTTTCAAATAAACTTGTAGAAAGACAAGTCCAGTTCAACGTCAACTTGCCTCTCTAGTTAAAATGTTTCCTGACACTGATTGTTTTGGGTTTTTTTCTTTATAGTAAAAATTATGGGATCATTTCACAAATGTCCCGAGTTTATTGTTACTGTTCATCTGATAAGTTAAGCATATCAACTCACGCTAATTGATTCTTTCCATTTTCAGCTAATGCGGCCCATTAAGTGGGGCAAATAAGATTAATTTGAGCAAACTTGATAATAAATACATTTAAGAATGCTACAGACCAAGTTTGGTGATCATCAATCCATTAATTTGTGATAAAATTTGCTTATGACTGTCTTTCGGAATTGCGATCTTTCTTTCTTTTATTTATCTTAAAAATTAGATAATTACATAATCTCAGTATTTAGATATACATGTATACTGTTTGTCAGGATGACACTACCGTTAAATATCTATTTAAGATAATATAAGTATACTAGTCAACTCGACCAGAAAGTCAACGTTTCAGGTTGAATTATTTTGCTCCCTAATAGAAAAAGGAAAAATTGTACATTTAACTACATAGATAAGAAAAGGTTTTTTGATGAAATGTATTCAGTGAACAAGATAACTCTTTTAATAAAACAACTTTACATACAGGGTGGAAAAGTGATATTGTATGAAACAGTGCAAAATTACTTTGAACAAGTGATGACCAAGTTTGCAAAATGTGATTCTGAATAGAAATAATTGAAACTGATACTGAAATAGCACAAAGAATAAAAAATGACAAATTACATTAGGAAAACTGCTAAAGTTGACATGAGTTCACTTAAACTTAAGTTTTGTTCCTTAATGTAAAATGCTAAGTTATAAAAGACTATATTAAAGTAAAATAAAATGAAAAAATAATTTTAGCCATAACTACATTTATGAAATAAATTCAATGTTATTAACATTTAACTTACTAGTTCGAGTGTTTCTTTATTGAAAAATTATTTTAATATTACTTAATGAAATAAAAACAACTAAACAAATAATTGAGATCAGATTTATGCAGCTGGAGAATACCAGTTCAGGCTAATGGGAAACTCACAGGTCCATGGATCAGGCTATTCAATATATTATTATTATATTCTCATATAATACCACAGATACTGAAAATAAGTCTCAGTGAAAATCAATCATTTATATGTTAAACAAAATGTGACAATATCCCAGTGCACATGAAACAGCAGGTTCAATGGTGTGTCACAAAATGTATTGAAATGTGCTTTCTCCAAGTTCAGATCAAATTCAACAAAAGTTGTAATCTTTCTTAAGGCCTAATTTTATTTCCTGGGGAAAATTCTCTACATTGACCTACAAATGACACTGCAGAAAGATTAATAGAATGATAGAAGATGAATTCATTTTTACCATTGCATTTGTGAACACTAATAGTTCCAGAAATATATTTTGTTCTATCCAATTGAACTTTGCCATAGTGTAGTAGTGTCTAGTGAGGTTCTATTTGAAAATGTCAAATGAAAGACAATGTACAGATATGTTAACTGTTAACATACAAGGCACATGACCTCAAATCAAATTGCAAGATCTTAGAAAAACAGCTCATGACATCAAGCCTTTCTCCCAGCTTAGAACAATTGCATAACTTGAACACTTGATGAAAAATATTCCAACATGACTTGTTTCCCTTTCATTATTAAACAATAATTGAAGAAATGCCATGGCCGGTATTTTAGCTTAGAGAGAGAGAGAGACAGACAGACAGACAGACAGACAGACAGACAGAGAGAGAGAGAGAGAAATGCCATGACCGGTAATTTTCGCTTAGAGAGGGAGAGAGAGAGAGAGAGAGGGGGAGAGAGAGGGGGAGAGGGGGAGAGAGAGAGAGAGAGAGAGAGAGAGAGGGGGGGAGAGAGAGAGAGAGACTTTAAAGGTTTTTTTCTACTTATAACTCTAGAATCCCCTAAAAGGGGCCAATCAAATTTATTTGAACAAATTTGAAAACAAACCATCTAAGAATGCTACAGACAAAGTTTGTTGATCATCCATCAATTGTTTCAGTAGAAAAAATGTTTTAAGGTATTTCTATTTTTAGCTATAAGCAACCCCGAAAAGGGGCCAATCAACTTATTATGACCAAACTTGATAAAAGGCCACCCAAGAATGCTACAGACAAAGTATGGTGGTAATCCACCCATTATTTCAGTAGAAGAAGACGTTAAAAGTTGTTTTCCCTTTTTCATCGTTTGCGGCCCCTTAAAGGGTCAAAACAAACTAGCATGAGCAAATTTGATAAAAAGCTTCCTTAGTATACTACAGACCAAATGTGGTGATCATCCATCATTTAGTAGAAGAAGGTATTTAAAGGATTTTTTTCTATTTTTAGCTGTGTTGACCCCTTAAAGGGGCCAATTGAAATGACATGAGCAAATTTTAGTGTAACTGTCACAATGATGCTAGAGACCAAATTTGAGGAAAATTCACCCAGCAGTTTAGGTATGGTGAGATAAAAATTGGTCCATTCTTTATCTTAAATTTAGCATTTAGTTTTTTGTTCCCATTTAAGTTTACAAACATGTATATAGTTATAAAATTTTAATATATTCTGCATTGGTTGTGAACCGTTTTTATTTTTCAAAATGAGAGATAGCATTGGTGGAATAAAAGGTCTTGAGGCATTTTTTAAACCACTGATAGAGCAACCAGTTATTTTCAGATATTTAACTATTGCGTGGCATATGCACTGAAAGTGCAGGAATTAGCAGTCACATTATAGATTTTATTGTTTCATGGACCTGATATAAAACCCTATTCGTTTTAACCATATTACCTATACACTGAACACCTACATAAAACCATGACTTTAAAAGTATACTTCTTTACCAATCAATATATTAAGGTTATAAAAGAATGGATATTCTAACAGTTTATCAGTATATAGAAAATTTGTTTTACGTAATTGAACAAAAGCGTTTAAAGTATCATTCCAATATGTGTGTACCTGATTTCGCTGAGGTTTCTTGGTAATGAGAACCACAATTTAACAATTTATTTTGAAACAATATCTAGCCATTACAATTACCATTGCTCGTTATGATTCGCCAAACCAAAGTAGTTTAAAATGCCGTTATAAGCACAGTGAAATCTATCATTTTTTATCAAAACATCCTTTTTTCTAATCTTGCATGGACTCAAAGAATAAAGTCTCTATCTGTTGAATATAAGATTTTTGAGTGGCTAAACTTAATTGTAATTATATTTAATCTTTCGAAAGAAATATTATTCTTTGGAGAACTTAAAGCATAATCTGTATAGTAACATAATTAATTTCATTCTCATTCTAATGAAATATTACATTTTTAAGATTTTTTTCAAAATATCAAAAATATACACCAAGTTTGGAAATATTTATAAAAATGTTATACAGTAGAATACAAATAGAAGAACTAATTGCATTATCTAAAGATAAATTGGAAGCGCATAATACAAAATGGAAT